AAGTGATCCGCTTCGGCAATCAACATCTGCAGATAGTTCTCCGCTGTAAGCTGTGTAGGCGCCACATCCACCATATGGGTCATGCGGAAGTTGCTGATGCGAAAGCTCGCTTGATGCTCCTTCGCAATCACTGTCCGCATCACTTCAGAAAGTGCGCTCACCTGCAGCAAGGGATCTGGAACCTGTAGTCCAAGTTCACGAGCTCGCAGGAGTTGACGTCGCCATTGGCGTAGCATCTCACCAGCTTCAGCTGCAGATTTGGCTGCTGTGGTTTGAGTCAAGTTGTTGAGGATGGTGCTTTTCTCGTTGAGACCACCAGGTTGGTACAGCTTCAAGATGCGAAACACCAGCTGCACGCATGTCATCTCTCGCAAAGAGATTGCTTCTTGTTTGACCGTCTGTGGCACTGCAGCTAACAACATTGACAGCACGCGAGACTCCAACCTGACATACTTGTTCTCCACTTGAAGGTCAGGTTGCACAGCCATGCGATCCATTGGACCCGCTGTCAGGCATGTGGCATAGGCATCTTGAGCTCGTTGTACTAGTCCGGTCCACCACACTCTTGCGCCTTCTGAGACATCTGAGATCAGCGGCATCAACTCACTTAACCAATCTCCTGCACGAAGGGCAGCTTGAGGCTCGGACACGTCCTTCAAAATTGGCAGTGTAATTGGCACATTTCTCAGCACCTCAGAAGCTTCGCCATCAGGACCTTTTGCTTGTGGTTGAGGTTGCTGCCATTGTAGTGGCATTGAACCATATTGCATTGGTGCTGCAAACATTGGCCCACCATAAGGTCCAACTCCATGTCCTTGAGGCGGTTGTGGTGGTGGTTGCGGAACATAACCAAAATCCGCTGGTGGACCACCATGTCTGTGCACCGGTTGCTCCCAGTACTCACCTGTCAACCTTGGTCTTTCTCCATGCATCATCCTGACCTCTCTGTCCAACCATGCAAAACGATCTGCTCCAGGTTGAAGATGATGCTGCTGTTGTGGTTGTTGATCCACTGGAGTCCAAAAATCCTCCAAACCATCAAAACCTGTTCCACCACCCACGTGCTCATCAACTGCAAATGGGTCAAACTGCCATGGTGGAAGTTCTGGAAGATCTGCTACCTCCAGTGGTGGTTGTCCCGGGGGAACTTGAGTTCCTCCAGGTGTTGTTCTTGGTGACAGCGAGTAGTACTGAGGTCGGCGCGGCGGTGTCCTTGGTGGTTCCACGCTTGAACTCTTCTTTTTGAGCTCCTTCTGCAACTCCTCATTCTTCTTTTCAAACTCATCACGCTGGCGTTGCAAGTCCTCAGCATACTTCTTCATCTCTTCCTTTTGTTTCTCCATCTCAAGCTTCTGTCTGTGAAGCTCTTCAACCATTGATTGCTCCAAAGCCCGCCTGAGCTCATCACGCTCATCTTTCCCTTGTTGATTGACATCATCCACAAAGGTTTTAGCACCATGTACTTCGCCTTGTGGTTGTCGACTTGCCTCACGTGGCATCTGTCGTCTCATCTCATACTGTTGCACTCCCATTGGAACTCTTTCCAAGGGTGATCCATCATCTTGCCGATGACCTCGTCTTTGAGATTGATCTCGCAGACCACTTGGTACTGTTCGATGACCTTGAACTTGACGTCGTTCAGGTCCATAACCATGACTGACTCCTCGGTGGCGTCCAGTCTCTTGCACATTTCCTTCAGACCTTGAGGGTCCATGACGGCTGACTCCTCGATGGTGTCCAGCCTCTTGCATGATGTCAGACCTTTGAACTGGTATCTCACCTCCCAGTCCTCCAGTCTTCCCACCTTGTCTTGCAACCCCATGAGATGGTATCTCACCTCCCATCCCATTGGGCCGCACCACTCTTCCTTGACCATGCCCCTTGCCAGAACGTTGCACTTCTCCAGCAAGTAGCCCTGCTGCGACACCTCGATGGTGCCCAACTTGTTCAACACCTTGAGGGTGTTCATCTTGCTCGACACCTTGAGGGTGCCCATCACGTCCAACACCTTGAGGGTGTCCACATTGTTCGACACCTTGAGGGTGTCCAGCTTGTTGACCTTGTCCAGCATCTTGAGGATACTGTCGGCCCACACCTTGAGGGTGTACTTCACGGTGACCTTGTCCAGCATCTTGAGGATACCGAAAGTCTTGACCTTGTCCAGCATCTTGAGGATACTGTCGGTCCACACCTTGAGGGTGTACTGCATGTCGACCTTGTCCAACATCTTGAGGATGCTGAAGGTCTTGACCTTGTCCAGCATCTTGAGGATACTGTCGGTCCACACCTTGAGGGTGTTCTGCATGTCGACCTTGTCCAACATCTTGAGGATGCCGAAGGTCTTCATCATCATTTGATGGCATAGCCCCTTGAGTCTGCAAGGCCACACCTCGTCTTGTACTCCAACTCGACGGAGCACTCATTCGTCCCATTGCCAGCGGCTCCAACTCTCGCGACGCGTCTGCATCTTCTATCTCCGGAAGGTCCTCCTTGACTGAGACCTCTTCCCTTGGCGTCCACATCGGCTGCTCCATGGCCAACTGACGTGCTTCTTGTAGGTGTTCTCGTTGAACCACCTCTGACCACCACGGATTCGGCTCGGTGCCTAAGTCCAACAGGTCAGTGCTCACATCCAGTTCTTGCCGTAGAGCCCCTCCATGTTCGCCTCGTAGTAGAGCTCGTCCTCCACCTTGACCATCACTGCCATTGGGTAGAGCTCTTTCATCTCCACGCCGAAGGTCTCTGCCGTCATGTCCAGCTCGTTCTCTTCCATGCCCTTCTTGGCCTTCTTGATCCAGCCGTAGAGCACGAGGTCCACTTCCACCACGTGGCACCGAACTCGACCTAGTCCACGACATGGCAGGCGCCCCTCAGCTGAGCGTTGGGCTCATAACCTGTGTTAGGCAGAGCAGCGCGACTTTTGATCCTTAAAGAGCCTGCACAATCACAGGCAGTTGAGTTGTTGTGCACACTGATAAGAACAGATACTTCACCTGTCCAGCATGTCACACTGGTAAGAACAGATACTACACCTGTCCAGCTTGTAACCCTTTTGCACATACAAAAAGGCTACAATTTCATTGTAGCCCAAGATGCCTGCGACTGAACTGAAGTCCCTGAAGTCCGTGTCATCCACGAAGAAAGAACTGCAGCTAAAGCTGGGGATCGGTTCTTTCCGCACTTGCAGTGAACCAGGATCACCCTCTTGGCACGGACCTACCATGCAGCCACCACCGCGGCGCCGGGCTGAGCCGTTTTTGCCGTGACGGCAGATCAACTGAGGCCGCCTGGGGCACCACCTGCAACTGGTTTCCCCATGCTGAACAAAAGTGTCCTCTGGAGATTTAACCATCAAATGGCCTCTGGATAATCACTATATATTTTGGTTTTACATAGGTTATTATCCAGATAGTGAGAATCATTTATAGATACCTAGATACTAAGATACCTAGATTTACCTAGGTATCTATTATAGATTTTCACTAGATTTATAGATACCTAGATGATTTATAGATGTCATCTATCAGATGATCAAGTCATCTGGATGTCATCACGAAAAAATGATGTCAGTGAAAATTCGAGACGTGAAATCTGGAAAGAAACAACACCAATCATCTATAAAACTGTCGTGTCAAATTCCAAGTTGAATTGTCAGAGTTACCTTTTTGGGCATGGAATTGTCCACAAACAGATGAATCCCAAATTAATGTTGCCTATAAGAGAGTGTACATCTGTTTTGGAGAAAATTGTGCTATGCGTATATCACTTCTCATGCTCAAACTCGTTTTTTGTTGGCTCAAACTCGTCCCGATAATTGTTGTTGGTTATATCACCATGGAATTGGTTACAATGTGAGGCCCCCGTTCGAGAACGCTAAGTTGGTGCAAATAAAGTACCACAAACCATAGTTATCCATAGTTGTTGGTCCACTAACTATGGTTTATGGCACTTATAATTAACGAACTAGTTACTGGGGCGAATCTAAACCAACGAAACCACATCACGTATGGGGGCCTCACTAATTGTATAAATCCCATTAAACCATATTAAACCCACATTTTCCTATGGTTTCCCATGGTTTCCTATGGTTTCCCATTGTAGAGGCCATATATATGTGGCCCAAAAAAAGTAAACGCTACGAAAAAAGTTTCCATGGAGCCATGGCAACGCAACCCAAAAAAGGCAACCCATCCTGTAAGCCTTTTGTTCACATCAAAATAGCTGGATTTATGGATATATATATATATATATATATAGAGTAATATATAAATATATTATGATATATAACTACCATTATTTCAATGGAAATTCCAGGATCCAACAGATGGAGGTACGTAAACGTACCATATTTTTGGCCATATTTTGCTGGGGATATTCCCTTACATAAGCCTTACATAGGCCTTACATACGGTAGGTACCTCCAATTCAGGATCCTGAAATTCACATTGAATATTCCGGCTGGATAATAAAGCACAATCATCACGCTATAACCCAGATGCTCCATGTATGGAATATTTACCAACATTTGCCCTAAAAATCACCCAGTTTTGTAGGTACATATACTATACATAGAGCATATGGGTAATAATTAACCCTGATGTATCAATTAGATCCTCGTATCTCTGATAAACCCAACAAAAAATACGCTACAATTCATGGTCAAGTCCTATTCAAAGCCCGTTGAGCTTGGCATTTTGGTCACCGAAAGTTTCGTCAATGGCCATTTCAGGTCCCGATCTACTGGAGGTACTGTACCATAAAACCAGATTTGGGAGGTATATCCCCCTGAAATTTAGCCCTCAAAAAAAATGAAAATCTATAGACCTTGTATATATATCTATATATACATGTATATGTGGATATGTGCATATATATATATATACAGATCTATATTATATATATATATATTATATGGTAGGTACTTCCAAGAAATCGGTTTCTGAAATGGCCAAAATCTCGACCCTTCTGCCGACAAAAACAAAACAATTGGGCTCTCGAGCCCAACGCGTCGGAGTTCCGCAGCGATGTACATGGAGTTGCACTCGTTCTGAGGGGCAACAACGACACAATGTGAGGCCCCCGTTCGATAGCTAAGTTGGTGCAAATAACTTCAATAACTATGGTTTATGGTACCTGTAACGAACTAGTTAACTATAGTTACTGGGGCGAATCTAAACCAACAAACATCACTGGGGGGCGTCACATTGCAGGAACATGGTCTGCAATCTAGTGCCCCAAAAAATATTCATAGATATTTTTCACTGTTGAGTAAACCATAGATAGATAGACAGATAGACAAATACATATATATATATATATGTATACATATATATAATATAGATGGATATATACATATGTATATATAATAATATATATATAATAATATATATATATATATATTCAGATAGAAACTAAGGCAACAAACATAACTTGGGAATGGGGGCACCACCCACTTGGTTTTTGGAAACTCCGAGAATTTTCAGGGGATGAAGATCCGGGGCATCTGTCGGCGAGCATGAAACAACTAGGTAAATTCTATATATGGGTCATGGAATATCAGGATTTGAAAATGGCCCAGTCGAAATAGTTGATTTACCCATTGAACTTGGTGATTTTCCATAGTTATGTTAGGTGATTTACCCATTTATAGATGTTGATAGATGATCAATGGGAATTTCAGAATCCTAAAATGGAGGTACCTACCATATATAAGGCCTATTTTTCAGGGCTATGTAAGGGGACATCCCACCAAAATATGGCCTTATATTCATATGGTACGTTTACGTGCCTCCATTTTAGGATCCTGGAATTCCCATTGAGATAATGGTAGTTAAATATCATAATATAATAATATAATAATATAATAATATAATAATATAATAATATATTAATATATCAATATATTAATCTCTATATATATATATATGGCTGTGGATCAAAACTTATAGATACAATTTCTGGATGAACATCCATAAATCCAGCTATTTCGATGTGAACAAAAGGCTTACAGGGTCTTGACTCATACCCATAGATACATGGGGGTTATTTGCTCCAACTTAGCTATCATGCAATGTAGGGGGCTACACCTTGGGAGTAGGGCTATGGAGTAGTTTCGTTCTCTGTCTGAATGGCTGTTTCCACAATACGGGGTCGATTCTCCAGTAGTTCTGCCGCATTGCATAGAGCGCTACGTGCCTTCACAAGCCAGTCAAGGGGTTCCAACCCCACTACCTCACCTGACTGCTCCAACTTGCTGAGGCAGTGATTCACTTCCCAAAAGAGTCGATAAATGTCATGAATATTCACTGCCAGCGGGTCGCCAGAAGATAGCCCACCTGCCATTCTGGGAACTGAGGACTGTGCTCTTTGGTTGTTTTCCTGGGTATAAGCACGCGATTGCCACCGCCTTCGCATCTGCGAGGCCACTCTCTAGGTGGAATCCTCTCCCTCGTTTCTACCTTGAGCCTGAAAACTCCCATAAAAGAGATTCACAGTTAAATACATCAAGATTGACTATCATGTTCCTGAATGCAGGTACTGTGACCACAATTTCATCTCCAGTCAGCTACATAACAAAACTAATCCTCCTGAAAGATCAATACAGAGACCATTGCTCTATGTTATTCAGAACCACAACACTGAATAGGAGGGGAGCGTGTTACCAAAGAAGCTAGGAAACTCGTTTATTGTACATACAGCGTTACCGAATTCGTCTTCGTTTGGCAACTCGCTCAACATAAGTCTGATGTAAGTGCCCTCCGCGTAAGTGCCCTATGTGGTACGGGGGGTTCTCGCGGTACAGCAGGGGGAAGGTGAAAGTTGGAGGCAGCAGGGGTTTTCCGTCAATGTTACAATGTTCACTGAGCCGATCAGCTCGAATCTAGTTCTTGGTCTAGTTTGGAAGAGCTGATGGCTGGTATTCGGAAGACTGGTACCATAAACCATATTACAGTTACAGTTTCCGTATTTGGAAGATTGGTAATGGTTCGAGCTGAAGGGCATGCAGCCTTTTCATGACCACAGTCGTGTCACGAAAAGCGGTTGTTTGTTGTGGGCAAAAAAGTTCCACATCTCACTGGATGTACTGGGAATATCATGGGAATATACCCTCTGGTAATGACTAACATGGCCCATAGAAATAGTTGATTTACCCATTAAAAATGCGGATTGTTATTTTGTTTTTGTATGTTTACCAGGCCGGGTAACTAAGAATCTGATGTGAAGAACAAGTGGATGACAACACCTAGGAAGATCAACCAAACATGACACATCAAGCGTATCCCATTAGTTATTTAGGTATCCCATGAAAAATGACTAATTATAGTATATTTACCTATAGTTCCTAATGGGACACCTATAGTCCTATAGTTAATCAGATGCTTGGTTAAATTATAGTTTTCCGTTATAAGTTGATGTACCGTGCAAGACATCATGGAATGATCTGGAGATGATCTTCCTTCATTAGCAACACACAAACATACACAAACATATGGTGCCCCCCAGTTAGAAGTTCGTTTATAAACCCAATGAACTGGTTCGTTCTATCTACCATAATCGAATTCAGCTTAAAAGGCAACTGAACGCGAACTCGACTGGGGGCCCATCCTGTAGTCTATCGAACCATCTACCCTCTGGTAAACATACAAAAAACTGATGGGAAAATCACCATCTTTGAAAACGATAAATTAATGTAAATCAACTATTTCTATGGGCCATGTTCAATAGCAAACTGTTAGTTTACCAAAGGCTAGAGCAAACTATAGCAAACTAAATTACTGTTGAATAGCAAACTGTTGATAGGTAAATCAACTATATATAAATAGCCATGTTCAAGTTGGCAAACTGTTCGTTTACCAGAGGGTATACCCCAGTTAGATTCATGGAATATCCCCACATATGGTCATCTTTAATAAGTTGGTTTATAAACCCCATGGCCCATTAACTATCCGCCGACCCCGGCAGACGCAAGGGGGAGTGCGCCAGGGAATAAGACATTCGACCCTTGTTTCGGACTACTACCACTATAGGGTAGAAATGCATATAGCCAGTATAGCCAGTAGCAGAAGACAAAAGTAGCTAAAATCAGCTAAAATCTTTGTTTTCTGTGGGTTTCAGAAGTTACATCCTTTGCTGCCATGGTGTTTGCAGGAGGAAACAGAAGGAAAAAGTAGCAAGAATATGCTAAAATCATCCTTTTCTCTGGGTTTCAGAAGTTAGGAAAAAGTAGCTAAAATCATCGTTTTTTATAGGTTTCAGAAGTTACATTAGGGAGTTTTTGGACGCAATTTTGATGTTTTTCCGTCCTTCGCTGCCATGGTGTTTTCCCATCCGGGAGGTGCCTTTTGAACAGAAGGAATTTCAGCAGCAGCAGCAGCCTGCCATGGTGTTTTCCCATGCAGCAGGAGGAAAAGGTAGCCAAAATTCATAGCAGCAGCAAGAGGAAAAAGCAGCCAAAATCATCATTTCATAGCAGCAGCAAGAGGAAAAAGCAGCCAAAAGCGTCATTTTCTATGGGTTTCAGAAGTTACGTTAGGCATTTTCGGGGTGCAATTTTGGGGCTTCTCCGTCCTTCAGAGGCATGGTGTTTCCCTGCATCCGAGGACCAGCAGCAGCAGCAGCAAAAGCCTCTGCAGCAGCAGGAGGAAAAGGTAGCCAAAATTCATAGCAGCAGCAAGAGGAAAAAGCAGCCAAAATCATCATTTTCTATGGGTTTCAGAAGTTACGTTAGGCATTTTCGGGGTGCAATTTTGGGGCTTCTCCGTCCTTCAGAGGCATGGTGTTTCCCTGCCGGCAGGTGATTTTTTTCCATTGTGTTTTCCCATTTGGGGACCGGATGTAAAGGTAGCCAAAATTCATAGCAGCAGCAAGAGGAAAAAGGTGCCAAAAGCATCATTTTCTATCGGTTTCAGAAGTTACGTTAGGCATTTTCGGGGTGCAATTTTGGGGCTTCTCCGTCCTTCAGAGGCATGGTGTTTCCCTGCCGGCAAGTGATTTTTTTCCATTGTGTTTTCCCATTTGGGGACCGGATGTAAAGGTAGCCAAAATTCATAGCAGCAGCAAGAGGAAAAAGCAGCCAAAAGCGTCATTTTCTATGGGTTTCAGAAGTTACGTTAGGCATTTTCGGGGTGCAATTTTGGGGCTTCTCCGTCCTTCAGAGGCACGGTGTTTCCCTGCCGGGAGGTGATTTTTTCCATGGTGTTTTCCCGTAGCCAAAATTCATAGCAGCAGCAAGAGGAAAAAGCAGCCAAAATCATCATTTTCTATGGGTTTCAGAAGTTACATTAGGCATTTTCGGGCTGCAATTTTGGGGCTTCTCCGTCCTTCAGAGGCATGGTGTTTCCCTGCCGGCAGGTGATTTTTTCCATGGTGTTTTCCCATTTGGGGACCGGATGTAAAGGTAGCCAAAATTGATAGCAGCAGCAAGAGGAAAAAGGAGCCAAAAGCGTCATTTTCTATGGGTTTCAGAAGTTACGTTAGGCATTTTCGGGGTGCAATTTTGGGGCTTCTCCGTCCTTCAGAGGCATGGTGTTTCCCTGCCGGCAGGTGATTTTTTCCATGGTGTTTTCCCATTTGGG